AACTTTTAGGAATACGTTATGAAAGCGTCGCCCATGTGACGACAAGCGTGACCATGTTAGACGGAAGGCTGATCATTTTAAAAAATTTTCAGTTATCTGTTCTGAATAAGACTTGTGTTTTTATGTCCATCGTATTTGTCATATTGAACTGAATTGTATTTTGATGAATATTGTCTTGAAAAAGGTTTAATAAACCGAAACGTCAGACGTCGACATTTCTTTCATTTAACGACATTTAAGGATTTTTGTTTGTTTTTTCAAAATTTCTTCATTTATTTGTGTGTATTTCTGTACGTATATGTATGTATGAATATATATATTTTTTTTTTTTTTTTTTTTGTGTGTTAATTTGTTTTTGCTGTTGTGTATATATATATATATATATATAAAGGAAATATGTTGTAGTGGTTCCAACGAGAGAAAAGTATGTATATTAAAAAGAAGAGGGGTGCCGCAAACGTTTTTGGTTGTAATGTGGATTTATTGAGAAAAAATATTATACTTTGTTTTACATAATTTCACGACACGTGTTTCTGGTCTGGTCTCGCAACCGTCTTCAGGTGAAAGTGGAGATTTTTACATATTGATATATATATATATATATATATATATATTTGTGGATTTCTTTATCCTGTTTTTCTTTGCCAAATATATAATGAAACTATTATCAACTTATATGATTAATAATATATATATATTTTTATTGATATTTATTGTTTTAGAGTTTTTGTTTTAATATATTAAATAATATTATTTTAAACATTTTTATCTTTATATATTTGCTCCCTTGAGTTATAATTCAATAAGTGGTTAGCATTTATTTAAGTCTGAAATATTTACTGGTTGTGATTTCTCAATGTCTATGCCATTGTGGATGTATGTTTGTGTATATATCGGTGTCTATGTGTATGTAGAGTGTATTCACATTTAACTGTGTGTGTGTGTGTGTGTGTATAAGTGTTAGTTTCCACGTCTCCTTTTTTCGTAAAGGGCTGTGGAGTTGTTCATATATTCCCCACCTCCCACCTTTTTTTTTTTTTTTTTTTTTTTTTTTTTTTTTTTTAGTGTGTGTGTGTATGTATCTAATTATGTCTAGATGCGTATGTATTATAATCTGATTGTGTTTTTGTTGTGTCATATGAGTTTAAGACCATATTCACAAACTTTAAAATAAAACGGAAAAAAAAAAAAATATATACATGTATTATCAGATGACCGGACGAATTGTAGCTTTTTGTCTTGTCAGACGTAATTTCAATGAAGAAATGAATTGAATAAACATATATATTATTTTCTTTTCTCAATAATTTTGTAGTTTTTAAACTTAATAGTGATTAAATTTGATTTTAAAAATTGCCAGTTTTTAATTTTAATATTAAATTTTATCATATAAATTTATAATTATTAGTTAGTAAAAATTATTTTTAATATTACACGTATTTAAAGATCTAAATAGCTATAATAGCAGGATTTTGTTGTCAAGCTTTTGAATCTTTCTGTACTTCGTTTTTGATTGGTTATTCTAGCTTTTGTAACAATGCTCCCCTAGTGTAGGATCGTTAATTAATCTGAAACTTTTAAAACCATTTATTTTCTTTTTCAACACCATCACTTGATAAGACACAGAGTGTGTTGAAACAAAATGGCTATTTTTGTAGTGATTTTATAACATACTTATGTTATAAATTTTTTATAAAATAATTATATCTGCTCTACTTTGTATTGAGCACTCTTTTAAGAATAGTAATTGTTGGTTATTGGAATTCATTCCGTATATACCAATTATATACTTTGATATATATATATATATATATATATATATATATATATATATATATATATATATATATATATATATATATTTTCTAACCCATTAGTAAAAGATCACTTACATGTTTTGTTTTTTTTTTCCCTCTCCCGTCATATCTATATGATGTTGAAGAAATTCCTAAATGCTTAATCCACCCATCTACAAATATAGTTTCTACCCTTGTGTATAAAATAGATTTATTGCCTTATTTTTTTTCTTTTCTAGATCACCTGACAACAGGGATGTTATGTATTGTCAATACCAGCGAACAGTTTTCCAGGTTAGCTCACATGTGAATTATATATAATATTTGAAGTCATATTTTATCCATTTGTGGTATCCTATTAACACAGTCACAAGTGAAAAATTTGGCTTTATAGGCAATAGATTTTCTTTGCTATAAAAGTTCCTTATGTTAATAAATGCATCTTTCAATATATAAAATTCTGTAACTTTTGTTAGTCACACCCCCTAAAATAGGGATACATTGATAAATCAAAACCAAATTTCAAGATGTACACACAGGTAAGGGGAGGTACAAAGTACATTTGGTTTTACTAGAGTGCATATCTTAGTACAATAAATTTTCATTATTTTTTTGCAAAAATTAAGTTTTATTATTTAACATACAGAATATTCTCACTATTTTAAAAACATTTTAATGATTAAAATAACAAATAATAAAAATGCAATATTGTTTTTTGCATATCTTTAAGTTTTTATATACAAGAATCCAGTTTCCAGTTCATCCAGTGTTTGCGAGAACTATAAACTAATCACAAATCCAAATACTTCCAAAAGTTAGAATTCCAGAAAGAAATTTTTATGTGACCAGTTGTATGTCACATGCTCAAGAGTAAGAAATCCCGAGAATTTATTCTTCACTGTTAAAATGGGAAAAAAAAAATTTTCTTAAAAAATACTGTTTACCATTAATTAATTTCTCTGAGTTTTTCATAATTTAAACTAATATTTTCTGCTTCAAACTGTTATCTCTCATACAGTAAGACATTGAACCAGGGTTAACATTCTGTTATATCATTAACCATAACAACTTAGAATTGTTTGGGATGATTAAGTACTAAATCAAACTGAAAAAAAAACACTAATTGCTACCATATTTCACCAAAAAAAAAAAAAGAATTTTTACAATTGATTTTATCTTCTGTGTGTCTTATCCTGCTTATTTCTAAGAATGTTATTTTTTATTTTTTTTCTAGTATGAAGGTATTTAAACATTGACCTTTATTGAGGAAAATCTTTTCATGTGTCATAATAAATCAAAACCTTTGAATATTAATAATAGGTTTCCCCTTTGCTTTTTTATAATATTGAAAATATAAAAAAAAAAAAAATTTAGGACTAAATTTAATCTTTCCACTTTGAAAATTTTTAAAAATTCTTTTCATAGGGTAAAAGTTCTACAACCATACAACAATGCTTCCAAGAACACTGCTCAGGTAAGTAAATTTGTACACACACGCACATATATATATATATATATATACGTACATATTTTTATGCAGAAGAATTATTTAACTATAATTGTGCATATCAATATGTGATGTTATATCCATGACTTCAAAGTTTCATCCAAACATAACTTTTCAAGTGTCTGTTGTTTCAATATATTTCTGATTTTTCTGCATCTTTATTTTTTGCATTCTAATTTTTTGCGTGTTTTATAACTCTGTTGTGTATATGCACACATTCATGAGTTTTGACCTTTGTTTATGTGTTTATTCATAAGTGTAATAATTTTCCAATTGTAAATTCTTCTTCCCATTATAATTTTCTTTTATGCTCTGTATTGAAGCTATTAAAAGTTGTTATTGATAATTTTTCTTTTAAACATGGTCTACAATTCCTATTATTAATATTATATGGGGGTACTTTTTTTATAATTTGCCATTTTAGTAGGTATATTACTTTCTTTTTGATTCCATATATATAAAACTATATTCTTTTTATTAATATTTGATAAATTATTTGTGATATATATACCTATAACTTTGCATAATATTGCACTGTCATAAATGCCCATTGAAACAGAATTAAGAAAAAGAATGTAACAATGGGCAGTTATGATGGTGTATTTGGTGAACATATTGGTATATATATCATAAATAATTTATTAAATTATTAATTATGGTAGAAAAATAGAAAATATAACAAAACAAATAATAGAAATATTTAATAAATTAGGATTTAAAATAGACATGAAATCTAACCTAAAAATAGTAAATTTTCTAGACATATTTAATTTATATAATAATACATACAAACCATATAGGAAAGCAAATAATAATCCCATATATATATATAAACAAAAATTCAAATAACCCTCCTAATGTATTTAAACATATACCCAATAGCTATTAACAAAAAAATTGTACCTAATTTTAGTAATATAAAAATATTTAATGAAAATACAAAAAAACATATGAATCAGAATTAAGAAAAAATGGTTATTGGAATACATAACTAAGAACAATACATACAAAAACAAAAGAAAAGGAACATAATTTGATTTAACCCATCTTATAATAAAAATAAAAAAAATATTCTTTAAATTAATTGAAAATATCCATTGAAAAGAGAGCTGAAACTCTCTTTCCAACGGACATATCACAGATTCTTCTTGCAAGCTAAGTTGTTTTTGTTTTTTTTTTGTTTTTCCCAGTTGTTTTTTGTTGATATTGGAAAAGTGGAAAGTCATCCAATCTGCAATTTGTATCAACTGGCTGATGAATTCAAGGCAATTCCATTCCAGGCTGTTGAAGTGTTTCTCTGCCGTTTACATCCAGTAGACTTTGACATTGAATGGACACCAGCTGTATGTTTTTTTTTATTCAACTATTTTTTTATAAATTTGCTGCCTTAGACATAGAATGTACACAAAGCACAAACCTCCTTTAGAATTTTTGCGAAATACTTGATCAACTGAATCAGAACCTTTGTCCATTGTTAGAAGAAAAAATTATTTTACCTTGACATGTTTTTGTCATAGATCTAGTGTGACGAGTTTTCTACTGATGGATCACCAGTAAAATGATAAGGTATAAAAATTATTTGAACTTGTATATTTCCCATTCCATGAAATTCTTACTTAACTTACATAGAAAATACATAGAATTTAAATTATGACCAGTGTATTTTATGAAATGTTAAAGAAAATTATTTGCTTCAATATTGACAAACACTTTCTCAATATTTACATTTGGATTATTGTCTTCATCTTTGTTATTATCACAAGGTTTCAGCTGAAACATTGTTATAAAAACAACAAAAATGAAGACAATAGTCCAAATGTAAGTAGTGTAAATAATGATAACTCCTCATCCCAGAAATTCAAGCAGAAACTTTCTCAGTAATATGGCTTCATTCATTTGGTTTTAATGATATCAACTCTGGCTGACTGTTCTTTAAATGAAACCTTATGTCAAAAGTCATTAAACATTTTTAATGGAAATACTTATCATTCTTAGAGTTTTTAAACTAATTTACATCCTTGTTGCTTTTATTATTACTGCAGTGTTTTACCAGATCTGTTCTACAATCTTCTTCAGGTGTACAATTGGTAAAGGAAGAGAGAGATCCCTACCTCTTCTTTTTCTTTTTTTTTTTTTTTATGAAACAGAAATAGTGGCTTGGCTCATTCCCAGCAATGTAAACCACACAGGCAACACCACCATCATCATCATAGACACCCTTTCTTTTCTGAAGAACACAAAAGAATGGATCAGCCATAATGTTGCTGTAATAAGAAAAGCAATATAAAGGTGTTTGCTTCTCTATGCATCTCTTTAAATGATAATGATTCTTTTAAAAATTATAAGTAATATCTTTACAGAAATTATTTATTTTGTCACCTTTTAAATAAGCTTTTGTTTCACATGATTTATTTGGTGATGAGTATTTTTTTTATTTTTCCTTTTTCTAGGCTAACTCATTTGCAGAAAGCTGGCTTGAATCCAAAATGCTTTATGGCAAAATCAGATTTGTGTAAGACTAAATTTGGATTTTTTTTATTGTTGAAATGGAGATTAATACTTTGCCTTATAAATTGTTTATTATAATTTGTAGCAAGCCTTGAAAATCTTTTGGCTGAAAGTATTCCTGTTTATTTCGAATTAATTCATAAATGTTAGCAACTAATCCAATCCAAATAAATGGGAAGAATTTTTATAAATTTTATTTATTTGCAGAATGCCAAAAAAGAAAATAATTACTGAATTTGTTGATATAGAAAATTCTCTCCAAATCCCCCCCCCAAGTCTTACAAAACATTTAAGTCTTTTATGACATGTTACTAATATACATAAATAATGGATTTTATATTACAATTTAAAAACAGGAAGATATTTTCATAGGAATATGTGAGCTCTCAACCAAAATACTAATCTGCGTTTAATTTATTTTTAGTAAGAGGTACAAATTTTAACAGATTATGCTAGGAAAATTCAATCTTAAAAATTACCCAAAATATATTTTATTTTTTAAGGGAATTAAATAGACAGGAATTAATGAAAGATCATTATTGATGATACGCAAAATCTTGAGCTTAAAGGAGTAGTGAATAATGAAAGACTATTCATTGTAAGTTTTATTAAAAATAGTTAAATGTCAGAAAATTAATTCAAAGAAATGTTGGTCTTTATTTACCTATAAATTTAAACGAAGATTTTAAGCTATGTACAATACCTTACAAGGATATAGGTTTCCATCATATAACTGTACAAGTTTTGTTTTGTTTTGTTTTGTTTTGTTTTTTTATATTTAAAGATTCATATGATTTTAAATAGGGGCCTGCATGACAATCAAATTTTGAGATTTAATTTTCTAATCACTGTCGTATGTGATATAGTAATAGCTATCATGAAAAAGCAAATCATTAAAAGTCTCCTACTGTTTAATTTGACTTCTGATGTCATTTTTGTTTTTTAAAAGTTTAATAATAATCCCCTTTCTTTTATTCTTAACCATTCATTTACCAATTTAATTTTTTTTTCTAATGTTTAATCTCTATTGAAAGAAAATAAGACATTTCAATTTTTTAGCCATGTTGAAGGAAAAAGCAACTCTTTTTGTTTCAGAATGGACAATACTCTCTGGCTTGATCCTATCCTAGAACGGACTTTCATGAAGGCTATCAAAACGGTCACTAATGGTCCAAGTTTACGCAGAGAACTGATTAACAACAATCTTGCTATTGACAATCCTCAAGTAAGGAACCTTATATATAAAAACATTGCTTTCTACAATTCTTCTAAAATTAACTCAATAATTATTCAAAAAATGTTCCTATAAGGGGAATCTGATAAGAATGGCTTTATTCATTTATTTTTATCAAATTCTCATGACTACTTTTTAGAGAGTAATTCTTATTAGAGTTTATTTTAATGGTCTGAATCTATGAAGTCTCTGTGTCAGGAAAGCTTCCAAAATATGTGATATATTTTAATGTCTCTGAGAAATTTGAACTGATTAATTTGCTAATTTGACTCATTTTCTGTTATGATGTCTGAAGCTAAGTCTATGACTATAGTTTCAGCACTAAAAACATAGAATTTATCAGGTAGGCTTTTTCTTTATTGTTATGATATAAAGAATGGCTGAACATCCGATTTTATCAATGTTTTTTGAGCCATCAGTTCATATGTGCTTATAGGTTGGGTGCTACTGTAAAATATCAATTTCTTTTGAAAGTTTAGATGGACTGGTATTAGGTTTAGGTATTTATCAAGATTTAGTAAAACTGTTGGCTGTTTTGTTAGCTAAGTTGGGTTTTATGATTAAATCAAAAATACTTGTGCTAATATTTCTCTTTGTAGAGTTTATTTTTTGACAAAAATACTAAAAAATCTGAATAGGTTGGTGAGGATATTATTGAATTGTTATGGATTGATGAATAAAACACAAAACTGAGCTACAAGGTTGAAAGAGAGTGCAAAATAGTATTTTGAAGAAATATCCCAGTTAACAAAGTTCTTGAGTAGATGTTTTGTTGTGAGAGATTTTGCCGCTAATTCCTACAGGAGGAACAAGAAATCTGAGTGTGACACTACTAGGACTGGTACAAGTCTTCTGCAGCAAGGTTTGTGTGGAGTATTTCCTTTGGGTAGGTGTCTCAAAGGGAGTTCTCTGCTGGTTCCTTCAAGGAACAAGAAAATTTGAAGTCAAGTTCCCAGGACAGGCCTCATCTTTTGCAACATGGGTTGAGTAGCCCTTCAAGCTAGGTTTGAATGTTGCAGGTGCTGGTAGAAGCCACTAAAATGGGAAATAGGGCTCTGTCAGGACTTTTATGACTTCTGGTTGTACCATGCTGAATATTTCCATTGCTGCTACTGCAGAATTGAGCAAAGTAAGGAAGCCTCCACAGGCCACAATAGTCAACAAGTGAGATGGTTTCTATAGAATAATTATCTCAACTATGGAACAGTTTATAATTTTTGTTGAGGCTTTTATTTCCTAAAAACCTGGCATAATTTATTGACCAAAAACCTAGCCTGTCTACTCCAATAAGTTTAAGAGTTTTGTGCAAATGATATAAAGTGCAAATTTAATTTAAACATATCAAAGATTTCCTGAAAAATTCTACAAACTTTGATAACTTCTAATGACGATTATTTTCTTCTCTTTATTCTTCAGCATTTAATACAGCTACATAAACTATTTGAGGGCTACGTTCCTAAACTGATACCTTCAAACACTCTGCCTTCAAGGTAGGTATATTTTATAAAGTTAATAATATTGAATGTTTTTATTTGATTTCAGAATTTCTTTGTCATATTCCCTTTCTCAGTTAAATAAAAATATTAAAACATTTGTTGTTCATTAAACTCAAATAACTAAGTTCAATTTTTATTGAATTATTTTACTCCCACATTTACTGAATGAGTCAAGTTACGTATTAACAAATTTTGATTGACAAATGGTTTGCACTTCAACTTATATTTCTAAATTAGCTAGCAGGGATTCTTGGCATTACTTGAAGAAAAATTTATTCTTTAATATATCTCATATTACACAAGACAAATTTTTAAAATAGTTACACCTAAAAAAAAGTATCTATTACTGACAAAATATTTTCATGTTGTATATGTCCTATGGTAGCCAGTATGAAAAAGGTTTTCAAGAAGTCAACAAAGAACAATTTAGAAGTGGTCATGTGAAAAACATGAAGATGTCAGACTGAGGCCAATTGTGATGACATCCAACGTCAGTTGTATGGGAATACACAAGGTTTTTGCTATGTTCCATTGATGTCAAGAAAGAATAAATGACAAATGCTTTTCAAAACACTTGTTTTATCAGGAAGCAACAAAAAAATATGATTTCTCACTTAGTTCTGGCCACAGAAAACCGGCCCCTACATACTGCTTGGCCATTTTACTCACTGCCAGCCATATCCTCTGACTCCTGGACCTTCCACTGACCACTCATTATATGGATACTGGCTATGAGACCCACCACCCCTTTCCATCCATTTGTGTTTCACCAATCAGAAAGGGCGACAGCCCAGACAGCTTTTGGGTGGTCATTTTTTTCAAAGGGCCCTACTTTTATGGCTATCTAAAATCACTAACAAAACTTTAATTCAAAGATGTGCTGGAGACAAGATTCCTGAGAAAGCCTGTCCATTAAATTAACATAAAAAGAATCTATTCATCTCTTAAGTATGTGTGAGAAATCATTTACACAAGAATCTTGAGAGTTTGTCCTTGCAAATTGTTCATGATTATGACAAAAGTTTCACTAGAAATTGAAGTTGTTTAAATTCAAAATTTCTCTTTGTATTACATGGATGCTGGAATGGAATCATCTAACTTTTTGGCTGATTTAAAAAAAAAAAAAATGCTAATTTTATTACCAGTTTAATTTTTTTTTTTTTTTCTTTTCCTATTAGAATTGTTTGTAATAATTTCTGTTGTTGGTTTTTGTTTTGAAGCTGTTCAACTTGGGAATTTAATCTTGAACACGAAACATTACAGGCAGGTGATGATTATGAAAATGTCACTATCTCATATATTTTTAACCCCGAACACTTCTATGTTCAAAAGCTGGATATGAAAATATGGTAAGTGTTTGATTTTCATTTGTTTCTATTTCTATTCTCATCCTTTGAAATTTGACATAATGTTGAATTATATAAAGATCATTATTTTTAAAAAAAAATGACAAATGGAATAGTTTGGTCAGTTTAATATTGTTGGGTGTGTGTCCAGATCATTTGAGTATTTCTTCTGGAAATAAGGATTTTCTTCCTCCCTTTATTTTTCTACATTTTTCAGTTTAAATGATTTGATGATGAAGATCCAAGAGAAAATGGGTCTCCAGACTGAACCACAGCGAAAGAGAGAATGGATTACAGGAATGCATTGTCTTAGCAAATCGTCACTGGATTCCAGGTAAAAAAAAATAAAAATCAGGTCAACCCATTGTTTTCATTGGTTTTTTTATATATATATATATATATATATATATATATAAATACACATACACAGGCAGGCACGAGAACATATTTTATGTTACTTAAAAAATTTAAAACTAAAAATGAATACCTTGTAAAATGCAACACTATGCATTATATACAATGCAGATAATGTAACATACCTTAGACAAAACCAATACTTTAAACAAATAAGATAACCAATGCCTGGGGAAAAAAATGAATATAAGTAAAATAAACAAAAAAATCTAAATAGATAAACTATGAATACGCACATAGACACAAGTAAATATAGTAGTAATAATAATCAACAAAATTATAAACTAACTACAAATAACTGCATTTGGACCCACAGTTATTTCTACTCTAGAATAATTTGAAGTATGACTGTTACTACCCACCCAATAGCCATTACGATAATTTAATAGACCTTGCTGACCCATAATGCACCACTGACCAGCATATATAGTCAAGCTTAAAGACAACACAGGTCCTGAAGATTGCACTCAACATGAAACACTGTCATCAATCTGTGTTGACCTCAGTCCACTTGTGTGTGTGTGTGTATATATATATATATATATATATATATATATAATCCTTTTGTTTTTATTCATATCTGACGAATTTTTTATATATAGAAAGAGAAAGCAAGAAATATATATGAGATATTCACTTTGATTAGTGCTTATATCCTTAAAAAAGCGTGAATCCACACCTGCCTTGACTCTTACAGTTTGCTATAAAAACTTGGCCAAATATACTGTCACTGGTTAATTTGTATGCTTGATAGCAAAACAAGCAATCCACTCTCCGATGACTAGTTTAACAGCTCATGCAGTTGTAGTAAAAAAATCAGTCATCTTCAACCTTAGTAAGGCCATTGTATCATACACACACACACACACATATATATATATATATATCTTTGAGAAAAAGATATCTTCTAAGAAAAGATACTCTCATTTTTTTATGTTGAAGAAAAAGATATTGAAAAAAAAATGGTTTTGAGAATCAAACATAACAATTTATGACAGTCCTGTTTCTGTTATGTGCTTCAAAGAAAACTCCATTTAAAGAAACCTGTTTGAGGGATTTCCTTAAAAGAAATCTGACTTTTTAAAAATATATCATTTCTCAAGGAGTTTGTTGGTTTTTTTTTTTTGGTTTTTTTTGCTTGTTTTTTTCTTTTTTAACTATATTACTTAGAATTCTAGTGTTTGTTCTCTGCAGACAAACAAAAGAATTCATGCTCATCAATATTCCTTGGATTTGAATTAAATATTTCTATGCAGCAATAATCAATTTACCTTTTGGGAGTTACAGTGTAATGCAATCGTTGTTGTACTTTCGTTTTACTTTGTATTTAGCTGAAGTAAATATCAAAATGAAAACCCAGTCTGCTTGGTGATTAAGATAGTTGCTTATATGCCAACACCATCAGAAACCATTATTTAATCATTTTCAAAATCTATATTTTGAACACTGATTTTTATGGTTGGCAATTTATCCCTATTTGAAAGAATCTTGCTTTTATTTTGCCTCTTCTCATATTAAGCAAAACTTAATAAACATTAAGACAGGCTGTTCCTTCTCACATGGAAAATGGGTAAATTAGTACACCACAATTTTCCTATTCTTTCTCTTCAACCCCCACCCCCAAGTACTAATTTATGCCCAATAAATCTCAATACAATTGCCTTTGTTTACTTTTATTTCAGGTGGTACAGAGTGATTATTTTAAGTCTTCTGGAATCCCAAGCAGTTGTCCATTTTGTTGACTATGGAAATATGGAAGAAGTTTGTATTGATGAGTTGCAAACTATGCCCCGAGAGTTAACATACCTACCTTCCCAGGCCATTGAATGCAAATTAGCCCATATAAAGTCATCAGGTAAGTTTTTCACTGACACCAACATAATATGAATATTTTTTAAAAAAAAGTTTGCACAAAGAAATCATCTTTGTTATGGATAGACATTGAAGTGCCAAAAAAATTTTCACCTTCTTCCACTTGTAGAAATGAACTTGGCCAATAATATATTACATGTGATATAATAGGTAAAGAGGTAGTGTATCTGTGGCAGCCATGGAATATTGACATGATTTTCCAACATTTTACTGTGGAATGATTGTTGGGGCTAAAATCATGGAGCATTATATCTCTGCTCTAAATTTCCAGTCCAAAAGCATCTATGTGGCCTTGTGGGTGATGAATTGTTTTCTAACTTACAACCCCTTTCCCAGAAGCAATATATTGCAAGCCTCTCACTACTTTACCACTATTTCCATGGAAAATGTTCAAGTGAGCTATATTCTTTAGTTCTTCAACTTTAACCCACCCAGTTAAGATCTGCCATGCTGAATACATTGGGGTAAACTACCAACATTACCTTTGTATTCCATTAATAAGGAGTAAGTTCCACACGGATAGCTTCTCAAGAACTGTTGCTTTGTAGAACAGAATCTCAAGAGGATGATTTCCCAACCACTACATTCTTAACCTCCTCAAGTCTAAGCTTAACCATTATCTTTCTCGCATATCTGCATAAAATGTGCTCATACAACAACCACCTTTGATAACACTCTACTTTAACTGGCCCTTGGGCCTTGTATAGGAAGAACATTAGTATTTTTAAAAACAAAAGAAATTTTTCTTCATGCAACTGTAGCATGAATAAACAGCATGTAAAAATTGCAAGAAGGAGACCACTGGTAACTGACAAATATGGTAACCACTGAATGGAAAAGAGCATTGAATCAAATCACATCCCAATTCAATACTGATGTCACTCAACCAATCAGTGTACTGTACAAAATAGACTGCATTCCATAAAATTTTCATAGTCTTTGATAAAGAAGAGTACTATTAACAACACCATGGCATTGGTTACTGCAGCTCACCTGTGCTAGAGAACATTGTTATAGTAAGACAAGTTACATTTCTTTATATAGATTGTTATGTAAAGAATGCTGTACAAAAGTAAGGATTCAGCTTGTTAGCCAGGGTGCTGTGCAAACACTGCTGGTGGGGCCCTGTAATGTGATCTAGTAAGAACCCCCACTAGTGAGACTGGAGGCTGTCCAGATCTTTGTTGCCAACTATTTGCAACCCACTTTGTTTTTCCTGGTGGGAATTTTTTTTTTCTTCTTCTTCTTCCAGCAAAAAGACAGAACCACCACCATCATGTATAGGTTATACAAAGCTGGTTACAGGAGCACTCACCTATTGGGTACTCCGTTGGCCACCATACCCACCAGATTTAAACACCATTCATTGTGCATTTGAACATGTTGCAGACCTGGCTAAATTCTCTCCAGCCACACCCAATAAATCAAACTCATTTATGGACAGTCCATTAATATATACCTGGATATATATATATCCATATACCTCGCAGATTCATTAACATGTTGTATAACCACCCTTATTTTGGTGATTGGAGGAGCTACATGTTATTAGAAAAGTCTTTAATTTTTTTGGCACTTCATTTTGCCCTTGGATACAGAACAGAAATTCTACTCAATATCACAATGCAAAGTTACACTTCAGTATCAGAATTAACACAATACAATGTTAGCATGAGATATTTTTATCATTTGTGTTTTTCCAGTATTTACATCTTTATTATTTTTAATATGTTTTGACTGTGTTTTTCCTCAATGGTATTTAGAAATGTCTTAATTCATTTGGTTCATCTCAAACTATCAAGTTTTTTTGTTTTTTTATAATATCTTAATATTGATTTACACAAATAATTTCATCAGTATAAAATTATTTACAAAATTAAAACAATTCTTTGTAAAATTTGACAAAAAAAAATAGTTATGATTGTTAAAAAGCTTGAAATGTAGCATATATTTAACTTGACATCTAAAAAACATAGTTTTTTTTTTTTTTTTTTTTTTTTTTTAAATTTTAAAATTCTAACAAATGTCGTGGGTGGCAGAAGGTCTAATAAATGCAAATAAACAAAAGTTAATCAACAAAAAGATTTTCCTATTTTTTGCAAGCAGATCATTTTTTTGTTAGTAGTGTCAGCAGGGGATTTTGCATTTGTCTAAGGTGCTTCACCTGGTTACAATTAGGATAATTTGGAAAGACTAGATTACTATTACCTATAGCATAAGCAAGTTTTGAACAATACATATTAACAAGAAGACCTGGTACCAGCAACATTCCAACTGAAACACTGTATAAGACAAAAAGGGAATTTATTATTGTACTTTTGCTTTTTATGAATTTATCATTAAAAAGTCTTTTGAAATTCATCATCTGGAAATATTGGCTGATTCTATCTTTTATCTCTTTATCCACTTTGTTGAAAATAAGCGAGAAGATAAATTAGCCTCTTGGATGTGACTGACAAGATATCTTGTGAAAAATGGCTTTGTTTCTGAAATTGTGAAGAATTTTGAAAAATAAATGCCGAAGGCAGTAAAAGCAATGATTTGTTTTCGTGCCTGCTGAGATATCATGAACAATTTATTTGTCTTGAATCTTCTTACTCTGAAAGCAAATCAGTTTCTTGTATGATGATTATGGTAGAAGCAATGATTGTCCTGAAACATCTGATGAGATATTTTACCGATATAATGATATCTCAGTCCCAATTGGTCAAGCAACCAAAATTCCTAATGATCCTGAAAGACATTTTAGCTTTATCACTAACAGATATCTTTACTAATTTAAATATAATTAGGTATAATTTTGGTGGTGGGGAACAGTTAATATTCACAACAGCCATTTGTATTGTGTTCAGTTACTGTAGGTCATGTTGTAATAATGATGGACAACTTTATATTTTCAGGTGACCAATGGTCAGCACAATGTAACAATATCATGTACTATATGTCCCAGACTGCAGATAACATATACAAAACACTTGCTATAAATGTGAGTAACTTGATTTTTCATTACATCTACTTTGTCAGTTCTATAGGTTAATCAATCACAAAAAAGATGCAATTTTCTTCATCTTATAATAATTTGTGCAAAATTATAAATGTATTTTTTCATGTGTTGTATAATCCAAACTTGTGTGTCAGTTGGTAAACATGTTTGTACATGAAAGAAAATGAACTTGTGATTGTAAGTCTTCTTGGGTTTTATTAAATTCTCTAAACTAGAAAATATTAGATGTCATTCTTAATACTAGTTTGGTCAGAACCATTCTCATAAATATATGTCTTATAGCCATATCATGTTGACACCCTGGTTATCATACCAAAATTAAGCAATGTTGAGCCTGGTCAGTACCTAGAGGGTGACCACTTGGGAATACCAAGTACTGTCAGCTTGGATGTGCAGATAATGGCTCAGAATTGGTAATCGGAGAATGAAGTTCCAATTCCAGTCAAGTTCGATTTATTCGTTTACACACAAATACCCTTGGGAAAGAGATGAATCCCCATTCTCTTATCAGCTGTAGGTTAATTAGTATCAGCAAATCATTATCTCCAAAGAATTCTTAAAATATAAAAACATTTTCTGGCTTTAAATAACCTGAAAAAGGTTGATAAGCTGTAAAAAACAAAAAAAAAAACAAATCATAATCATACAGGTTGCCCAAAAGAATTGACATCATTTTGTACTTTAGTAAGAGCCAATTCTTGCATAAATGATCTCAAATTTTGATAAAATGTGTAAAAATTAAGTTAACTGTGCAGATTTATCTCAATGAGAATCTAACAGGGAAATGGATCTCAGGCCTGCCAGTGATAATGACAATGTGCTGTTGAAATGGCCACCACATTCACCAGACTTGGCAACTTGTGTTGTTTTTTGTTTTGTTTTTTTATGGGGCTATGTCAAAGGTCAGGTCTATATCCCCACTACAAGCCTAGAAGAACTTAAGCAGGGAATCGTTGAGGCCCTGGAGAATGTTATGCAAGACATACTACAGCGTGTTTGGTAGGAGCTTGACTACCAATTTGACATGTGTCATATCACAGGTGATGCATATATTGAACCGTTTATGAAGCTTTATGAAATCGGTTATAAAATCAACGTCCCTTTGAATATCATATTCAAATTTTGACAAATCTTTTATTGTTTAACATGAAACCTGGTTAATTTCATTTGCCTGGGAAATATAGCTACCTAAATAACACGTTTTAAATGATGTGAATTTTGTGGAGACACCCTATATATATTTTTAAGAGAAAAACAAGTTATTGCGATAGATTTTGTCTTTTTACAATTTTGTATAACCTATTCTAGCTAAATGGTATAATCCTTTTTTAATATTTTCACTTGAAAATGATTATCTTTTTATCCCAACCTACCATTTTCCTTATAATATTTCAAGGTGTTTTATGTTTGCTTACAGAAGCTATTTCTATTTCATAACCTTTGATTAGCTTCTACTAATTTATGCTACCTATTCAGGTACATTTTTCTCTCTTTGCCAAAGCTCTACCCATTTTTTTTTTTCTTTTTTCCATTATTATTATTATAGGTGGTTTCTGAAGTACGTACAGAAGAAAAACTGCCTCAATATTGTGTCAATTTGCTGGATACAAGTTATGAGCGAGTGATCAATATTGCCCAAGAACTTATATGGTGGAAAATGGCAGCTCCAAATGATGACCATTTTAAGGTGATTAGAATTGTTCTTTTTTTTCAGAGATTATTTATTTTTGTAGGTTAATTCATTTGAACCACTTTCTTGATTCTTTTGTTGTTGTTTTATCACCACATTCCAGTAGCCATATTCTTCAGTTTTTTTTTTCAAATATCTCTTGTAGTAAGAATGTCAAGTTCTAATCTGAGGAGTTAAACTTGCAGGTCTAGTGTGAAAAGCCTGGACAACTGATCTAAACTATTGATTGCGGTCTGATTTTGTTTGATTTTTTTTTTTTTTTTTTTAATTGGAAATCATTACAAAGATGATTTAATAAAAATTTTATGAAAAACATTTGGATGTTGGTTTGAGGTTAGGAAATATATAAACAAAAGTAAAAATAATTGTATATCCAAAATTAATGACATGAGAAAATTGTTTACTTCCTTTTTTAGCTATAACTTTTATAATCTCTTTCTTTTTTTTTCTTTTTGTAACCTTTTACTAAATTAGCATTTACAGCAATATTTTACCATGCATAATCATCATTGCAGAATACTGAATTTTCTTGTTTTTGCCACTTTTCCCATTCCTCCCATAAATTTTCAATTGGTTTCCAGTGTGGATTCTGTGAAGGCCAAGGTTCAATGCCTATATTGTTATCCTGACTATATTATTGGGCTAACTTAGAAGTATGTTTTGGATCATTGCCTTGGTTAACATCCAACTAAATTTTGTTTTCTGATTTCTAACAGATACATTCATTGACATCCAACATTTCATGATAATTCTCTTCTTTCTTTCTTTTGTTTCACTATACTATTAACATTTACCAAGCTTCCTGTTCTTTTTACAAAGAAACACCCACAAAACATAATACTCATTCTTCCATGTTTTGTTATAGATACAGTTGTCTTTGGATTAAAAAAACACATTTCCACATCTTCAAATAAATCTCTTGCACCAAATGTTTTAATTTTGAACCCTTCTGACCAGAGAATATTCACCCAGGTGTGTTCATTTACAAATGCAAAACAAGATTTCAAATGACTATCCTTTAGAGAAAAGGAGTCTGAGATCAACATGCTTGTAAACCTGCTCTCTATGAAAAGTAGTCTTCACTCTAGTGATTTCCAAAGTATTCCTGAAATCCTCTCTTGTAATATTTGACTTATGTTCAAAAGTGCTTAGAAGTTTAATTTAATTTTTGACAAAAAGTTTCTTCTTCAGGTTTATTTGAAATTGTATTTTCTCTCTTGAACTTTGGAATAATGTTTTTAAAAAAATTATAGCATGATTGAAATTGCCAACTTAGAATCTTCTGGAAATAAATAAATATTTATTATTTAATATTCATAATTTTATATGGAAAGCTTATTTTACTATTAATACTTTTTCTCAATTTCAGGTGACTAGAATTGTTCTTTTAGCATTTGTAACCATATTGTAAATTGTTAAGTATACATTGTAAAAAGTCATTCTTGTGTATACATCTGCCTACAACTTATAACTACCCATCACCTAAAAGAAAGACTTAACTGCAACAATATATAAAATGTTATTTTCTATAAACTAAAGACACTAACACTGTACCAATAGTTTCAGTCATCAATGTAGCTAGGAAAGTTAACTCCCTGTGTCTTGCTAGACAATTTTTCTCATCAGAATTCATCTTGCACATTTATAGATCTACCATTCATCCGTGCATTGAATACTACTGCCATAACTGATCTGGTGCTCTTGCTATATATCTCAAGATTCTTGATAAAAATCCAAATAAGGGTCTGTAATATAATCGATCCTGATCTGGTATCTCAACCAATCAATTTCCCATCTTTTCGATAAATATTTTCATAGTAATTGCTCTGATGAACTTTCCTCCTTGGTGCCTCAGCTGCATGAATTTAAGCTTGCTACTAGATTAGCAACTAGGTCTCACCATTTTACTGTTAACAAGCTAGATGTAACCATTTTCTATTCTAATAATTTTTTTCTTGCACTTATCTGTAGAAGTCTCTTCCAGATTCTTGCTTCTCTGCCACCTACAATAAACTTTTTCAATTCGAAATTCCCTAAAAGTTACACATTAACACACACAAGTCCAGAAGAAACAACAGCTAGAACATTGTGATAATAACAACTAAGATGGGGACATTAGTCCAACTGCAAATACCAAAAGACAGGAAGTTGTGAAGAGTCATGATTGTCCACATTTTGAAAGGATATGGTACATAAAAGAAGTGGTATTATTAAAAAAACATTTTAACCAAAAGACACTTAAGTCTAGAAAACTAACCATCAATTAAAGTTACACCACTACTAACCATGGATATATCATACCTGATTTTGAAAATATAAAAGAAAATATTAAATATAAATCTTTATTTGAAATATTTTACATGCAGGCACTTCAAACTTTGTACTTTGAGTTAACATTAATAGGAACTGAAAAACATATTATTTAGGTAAGAAAATCAGGTACTGAAAATTGTAATTAAAAATAGGAAAATTTGCGATGGGTACTGTATACCCATGGTTAGTGTTCTAGGGTTAAAAGTTCATGATTATTTGCACATTTTTCTATTAAGTATATTTAAGTATGTAAGTCTTTTTTTCTTCAACATAATCTCATCTCTTGTCAATAGACAAATTGGTGGTGAATATTTGCATAAACCAAACCTTATACAATGAAAATTTTAGTTCAAAATTTAGCAAATAACTATGATTCAGGATGCAAAATTATCTGCTCCCATGTTCTTGTGCTTTTCATTAACACTAATAAAAAGCCACATTAAGATTCTACCAAGAATTACTGTGTTTAATGGCACATAAGATCCATGTTTGTTCCCAAATATTAGAATTACATAAATTTATAATACACAAAAAGAAATTTGTTTTGAACTAGAGCCAAATTGGAAACTTAGATGAAGTTCTGGTAATATTGGATACAGCAGCTCTCTTTTGAATTTTTAAAAGTTTTTTTTTTTTACCTTAATATTCTTTGTTGAAATGTGGCACTTGTCATTTTGCTTTTGTATTTCTACAGCTCTTGTTCCCAGAACCAGTTACTGAACAAATATTTTACTCTGCTGCTGACAAAATTGCTGAGATGTGTGCAATATTCTACCATGATGATGTAAGTGGATTCATTCAATTGACCAATGCCATGTAAAAAAAAAATGTTATTATTTAAAACCATTTCATAGCTGTTGAGTTTTGTGTTTGTTCTTGTTGTGACTCACATCCTATAAACTGGTTATCAGTTAAGAAAATTGAATCTAGATTCTACTGTGGCACCTTGCATTATTAGAAATATTCATAGAAATATGATTTAATTTTTTCTTACTCGGTTTACTAAACAGGTTGTTGATTTTTTTTAAAACGGAAAATAATTGAGTTGAAAATAATTCACTAAGATTGTACTTGGACGATCCTAAGGGAAGAAGAAGGAAGGGGAAAGAGAGAGGTTAGAAATACACAAAAAGCGCGGTCATTAACAAAAACACGAAATCAGAAAGATATCTTAGCTAGCATGTTGACCGAATTTTTTAAAGACAATTGGAAGAATAGAATTAGAAATAATAAAGGAAAAGTCATGATATCAAAACGGGCCGCTTTTGATGAAAAAACCAGATATCGGTCAAAGCATCTAGCCTACTTTTATGTGAGAAAGACACCTTATCAATTTGGATAAAGGGAAATTTTGGGAACAATGAAAACGAAATCTTAATCAGAGAAAAAGTGCTTTTGGGTTGAGGGGAGGACCGTGGAACGGTATACAGATTCTGACCTGTTAAAAATTAGAACCCCCATTGACGACGAGTGAAAGATGTTTTCAATTCAGATAAATTAAGATTTTCTGACTGCCGGGTCTGACAAAAAACAAGAGGTGAAAAAAAACGATTGTCTCAGATCACAGATGGCGACAATATTCTTTCCTGAAGTCACAACTAATTAGCGGCAGGCTGTGTTGACAAAAACCCAGGTGAGAAAAAGCCAAGATTATCATTTTTCATGACGTGCGAAAAAAGGCAAAATTGGAGTTTTTTTTTAAAACAAGAACGATGTAACCACGCCCGAGCGGAGGAGAAAGGATGCTCGATCAATAACAATTGGTCGGAAACGGTCACGTGATCTGCAGAAAAGAAGAGAAAGAAATGCCCGATCAGGAACCATTGGTCGAAAAACGGTCACCTGACATACGAGACTAAGAGAGATGGGTGTGCACCTCCCCACAAAAGGCACTGTGAGGAAGTAGGGGTGAAAACAATAGCGATAATGAGAAATCAAAAATAATGCGACTTTTGGAATTATCGAGAAAACCCTGACGCCGAGACCCACCCCAGTTTGTTGCAAGGCCAATAAAAGCAGGACCCCAGTCGACAGAAATCAGTTGGAGGGAGTTGCAGCTGGACCGCTGGCAGGGAAAGAGCCTGAACGCAGGCATCGGGCCCGATTCACTCACCCCTTTGCGGGCAAAAGAATCCTCAGACAAGAAATCCTTCCAGCCCAAGTCGAAGACAGAAGAGTTCAGCCCCGGACGGCAGCGAGAAGAGATCACCTCGACGAGACGAGAAGAAGAGATCCTTCCAGCCCAAGTCGAAGACGACAAGAGAACTTCCAGCCCAAGTCGAAGACAAGAGAACTTCCAGATCCTTCCAGCCCAAGTCGAAGACAAGAGAACTTCCAGCCCAAGTCGAAGACAAGAGAACTTCCAGCCCAAGTCCAGCCCAAGTCAAGACAAAGAGAACTTCCAGCCCAAGTCAAGAAGACAAGAGAAACTTCCAGCCCAAGAGAACTTCCAGCCCAAGACAAGAGAACTTCCAGCCCAAGAGAAAGAGAACTTCCAGCCCAAGTCGAAGACAAGAGAACTTCCAGCCCAGAGAAGACAAGAGAACTTCCAGCCCAAGTCGAAGACAAGAGAACTTCCAGCCCAAGTCCCAAGAGAACTTCCAGCCCAAGTCGAAGACAAGAGAACTTCCAGCCCAAGTCGAAGACAAGAGAACTTCCAGCCCAAGTCCAGCCCAAGACAAGAGAACTTCCAGCCCAAGTCGAAGACAAGAGAACTTCCAGCCCAAGTCGAAGACAAGAGAACTTCCAGCCCAAGTCGAAGACAAGAGAACTTCCAGCCCAAGTCGAAGACAAGAGAACTTCCAGCCCAAGTCGAAGACAAGAATCAACTGCGAATGATCGATAGAAATTAGCCCCAGTGTCGAACCAAACCACACTCCGACATACACAATTCTAAAGAGTAGGCAATTCGAAATCTTTAGGTTGTGTGATAGAAGCTTGGTGCCCTAGTTCACAGAGCGGGTTGGGAAATGAGAACAATTTTGTTTTTATGTAACGGACATTAAGATATAAAAGGTTGTTACCCTTTTTTTTTTTCATCAGCAATCTTTTTTGTCTCGTGAGTTTATTTTCTCTTTTTTTATTTGTGTTTTGCCACCCCCGTCGGACTCAACTTGTATCGCCCCAATCCCTGCTGGTCCCGCCTGTCTAAGATCTAAACACAGCATGGGTAGACAGACCGGAGATCGGTACAGTTGCTTTAGTGACCAGGTATTGGAAGCGAGTCGGGAAAGGCGAGGCTGGTGATCATCTGACCAAGGGGTTGGAGCGCACGCTTGGACCCAGGAGGAGCGACGTCACCGTTGGCGCCCGAACCAAAGGATCCGACCCTGGGCCAAGTGTGTAACCGTCACAAGTGGTGCCGTGACCAGGACCAACCCTGAGACAGCCACGTCACAAGTGGTGCCGTGACCAACGGATCAACCCTGAGACAACCACGTCACACGTGGTGCAGTGACCGAGGGATTTCAGCCCTGAGAAGACCACGATCGACCGCCGTTGCTGAAAATTCAGACAGAACTCAGAACGACCCGGGACCAAATGAAGAAAAGAACAGAATCGTCTGCAAGGTAGGACACCTTATTTTATTTCCCAACCTCGATTGTTGCTGCATAGACTGTCTTTCTCTGTAGACATGTCAGATTATGATTCGGATAGAGCAGTGGGGGTGAAGAGGAAGTAGGGCGGGGTTGTCAGTGGATTTAGCAGAAGCTGTTGGGTGGACCGAGGGTCCCAGTATTTGATGGCAGCGGAAGGAGTTTAAAACTGGCTGGCAATCCTCGAGAAGAGCCGAACCATCTACCAGCTCGGACCAAGAAACCCTGTATTTGGCATAATGATGCCACAAAGGAAAAGCGCCTGAGTTCGTGAGGGGGGTTTGGAGAACCAACCCCGCTTTGGCTTGGAAAAGAAATAAAAGACTACTGACCAAAGAATTTGCCGACGGGTGTACGCCATAGAGGCCATGAGGGCCCTTTTTTAAAACTAACACAGCTGCGGATGAAACCCCGAGAATTAGGGGCCCGAGCGGGAAGTTATCGCCATTGGCATTCCCCGAAGTGGTCAGGGATAATGCGGTTATGCAGGCCCAACTGGCGGACCTGTATGTAGAGGCGCTGAGCGACGAGCGTGTTCGCCACGACGCATTGAAAGAAGGACCGCTCAGACTGTCGGCAGCGATAGAGCTGGCCAGGGAGAGAGCCAGGGGTGTGGGATAAAGTGAAGAGGTGTGGGAAGAAGCAGATACCAAGTCAGGAGGCTGGAAGAAGGGGGGTAGTCGGAAGAACCCCGTGTGGGAATCAGAGGGTTAAGGAAGAGGTGGATCGGGCAGAATTATGGGAGGAGGACCCCAATAGAAGGGCATGGCTGACCAGGCATGGCTTTTATAAGCCCACGCCGGGTCGAGCACGGGCTGGTCTGCTGGACCTGTGGGGTACGAGGACCACAGGGCGGCGGAATGTCCGGACGAAGTGGGGGTTGCCCCAGACTTCAATCAGGACAGATGCACCAGGTGTGGTAAGAAAGGACACCTGGCCAAGTGGTGCGGGCTGAGGAAGGGTGCCCCGCCGATATTAACAAAGAAGGCTGAGCCCAAGAGACCGCCCAGGGAAAAGCCAGCGGCCACTCCAGAATTAAGAGGGAGGGTGGCCCAGTTAAAAGGAGAGAAATAAAAACTTGGACCAGTGGGTGGGCGAACCGCTTGAATAGAGGACGGGTTCCCCGAGGATACACAAGGCCAACCCAGTTAAAAAAGGGAAAGAGCAAAATGTTGGACATGTGGTCGGGCGGGCCACTTTGCGGCAAGCTGTCCAACAAGAAGGTGCTGGTTTTGCAGGAGGCCAGGACACCTGAAAAGAAACTGTATTTTTAAAAACGGCCATGGGAGACCGGGAGAGGTCCGGCAGGGGGCGCAGAACTCCACCTCATGAAAAAAATGAAGGTGATTTATTACTACCGGCGCCTATGGCTGGGTTAACCCAAGGGTGGGGACCCAGGAAGAGGAAAGCTCAGGTGTTCTCTCTTATAACGCAAGAGAAAGAACTATCCTGTAGAGCAGAGATAGGTGGTAGAGAGATGAGGGCTTTGGTGGACACAGGAGCATCTGTGTCATTGATGAGAGAGGAAACATACAGGCGGGTGAAACGGAAGAGAAGGTTACGGGAAGCAGACATAGAGATCACACAAGCAGATGGGGCCCCCTGGAGATAAAAAGGGATGGTGAGGCTCCCGGTGAGGATTGGGAGGGTGAAAAGCACCCAAAATTTTTACGTAACCCCCTTACCTGTGTACAGAGGCAATCTTGGGAGAAGATTGGCTCCGAGCCAGAAGGCCCAGATCAAGTTTAATCCTACTGTGTTGGTGGTGAACGGCGAGAGAACGCCATTGGGATGCCCACCAGAGGAAGAGATAACCATAGTGGTGGAGGAAGATGTAAAGTTACCTCCTAGGACCGCAGTGTCGGGAAAGAGTAGGCTAATGCCAGAAAAAAAAGGTAATGGAGAGGACCTCTGCAGTTGGTCCCTGTAGAAGGAAAGGGCCTAGAAGATAGCGAGGTAACCCTGTGTGAAACGGTAGTGGAGGCAGCCGAGTTGGTGCCCATAATGATGGTGAATCAGGCCCAAAAGACTATAAAGGTTAGGAGAGGGGAGAAGATAGGAAGAGCACTTCCCTCCTTAACTCTGAATCGGGTGAGATTCGAGGAGGAACGAAGGAAGCTAGTAGAGCAAACAAAAGGAATCTTAGATGAGGATATATTAGCACCGGATCAATTTAGAACCAGAGTGGGGGTCTGTTAAGGAACAATCGAGATGTGGTGGCCCA